CATGGAAATAACTAAAGTTTGTCGCTCAAGTAATCGCGAAGGTGAGAAAATATTCTTCACACATTCATACCTTCATAATATGCAGAACATAAATCAAAAGTTAGTTAGTTAATTTGTATTTAATGAAATCTGATTATTAGATTATTGGAATCTGATTTTGTATGTTCTTTTAAAATTTGATATTTACGATTCAAAAATCGATTAAAATTATATTTGGAATATTATTAACTTACACAACTTACAGTTTATTTATAATGGGAAGATATAGGACATACCCATATCACTAAATTTTGCTATCGGCATTAAGGGGTTAAATAGGTCTTGAAACTTCAAAAAGTTCTTTTTTTTATAAAAGAACAAAGTGTCAGGAATATTTTCCCCAAGTTTCAAGTCGATCGAGACGAAACTGTAGAAATTAGAGAGTTTTATAACCCGCCGTCTTTGTCATGGCTTGACCGATAGCGACAGGCTTTAAACTCGTTTTTCTTAAAACCACTTTATCTAAATTGGCAGTCAAAATTTCTCAACGACTATTGAAGCGATCGAGTTCAAATTTTCCACACTTCTTTTAAGTTTGTGTTTGTAGTCCCTGAACGAAGGATTTAATTTATCTTTGATTTCAACTCATTTTACTAGCCAAAATGTGGCCTAATTTTATGCAAAAAATGACGTTTTTTGTAAAAAACGCTACAAAAAATTCAATTTTAATTTTTCTTCCTTCAGGGACAAGGAAAATTCACCTACTTTAAGAAAAAATTTAGATTTTTGATTTCAGATAAAAATTGAAAAAGTTATCATGACTACCGCGAAAGCACTTTCTTGTGGACGGTCTACTTCACGACACTGCCAACGCCTTAACTTATACTATTTTTCATTCAAATTTTCATCAAATGTTGGCCACATATTGTACTTTTATATGTAAATAAAATAAATTGTATACTTTATTTAGTATCTTTTAAAAAAATTAGAGAAAATAAGCTTTTTTTTTGGCCTTCAAGACCAATGTAACCCCTTAAATAATGTGGGCAATGATTCTAGCAATTTATAGTTTAGTTTATATTGCTTTAGTAGTTGGTGAGATACATATGTACATAAAATCTATTTAATTTTTAACCACAAATGCCCTTCCCTACTATGATCCTCTGTATCATAAATAATTTTGTATTTTGCTGTATATATGTACATATCAGGTTTATATTCATTAATACTGAGTTAGTAAATCAATGGAATTTTAATTTTTAGGTTTCCTAAGCCGGTTTCCAATTCATCAGGACGGTTCCTGTAATGGGCTACAACACTATGCTGCCCTAGGGCGAGATGAAGCTGGAGCCAAAAGTGTTAATCTGTTTCCTTCACCTTTGCCTCAAGATGTTTATAGTGCTGTTGCTGCACTTGTAGAGAAATCTCGTAAATCAGATGCATCAAACGGAGTCAAAGTAGCGCAAGCGTTAGAGGGTTTTGTCCACCGAAAGGTTATTAAACAAACTGTGATGACTACTGTGTATGGAGTTACCCGCTATGGTGCACGACTACAAATAGCACGTCAGTTAAAAGATATTGAAAGTTTTCCTAAAGAATGGGTATGGCCTGCATCCACATATTTAACATCGAAGACCTTCGAAAGCTTACGAGAAATGTTTACATCAACACGTGAAATACAGGATTGGTTTACGGAATGCGCTCGACTAATATCAGGCATTTGTGGACAAAATGTAGAGTGGGTAACGCCGCTTGGTCTTCCAGTTGTGCAACCATATAATCGACAGGAAGTTAAACATACCATGCGTGCAGCTGCACGAGTTTCTGAAACTATGGCTATGGACATGTATGAAAAGCCGAATGTTATGAAACAAAAAAATGCATTTCCGCCCAACTTCATACATTCTCTAGACTCTTCCCATATGATGCTCACTTCTCTTTATTGCGAACAAAAGGGGCTTACATTTGTTTCCGTACATGACTGCTTTTGGACTCATGCATGCACAGTACCCGAAATGAATCAGATATGCAGAGAACAATTTGTATCTTTACATTCTCAACATATTTTAGAGAACTTGGCAGCATTTATGAGATCGAAATATAGCTTCCAAGAATCGTGAGTTCTAAAAATTTTATATAAACTATTATTTTTATACTCTTGCAACATGTTGCTACAGAATATCATAGTTTTGTTTGTATAACCTAAAACTAATCGAGATAGATATAGGATTATATATATGTATATATATGAATGACCTGTCTGTCCGTCCGTCCGTATCGTAATGAAACTTTGTATACGTGTTCCTTGACAAAAAAGTAAGAATGAGTTCGTAGATGGGCGTATCGGACCACTACCACGCCCACAAAATGTCATGAAACGAAAACCTGTAAAGTGCTATTACTAAGCACTAATTTAAGATATAGAAGTGTAATTTGACACAGAGAATCGTAGAAGCAAGGAGCACCGATAGGCTAAAAAAAATTTTAAATGTGCGTATCCCCGACCTTTAATGTAAATATCTCCCAACCCATTCAAGCTCAAATAACAAAATTCGACCAGGATAAATTCCCTACCTACAATGTAAAAATGGATAAAATCTGATGACAGTCTCGCCCACTCAATGTCAAAACTAATGCAATGAGCCCGTCCCTTTCTCTATCCCTATCTATATATAACTCATAAAATCGTTTTTCGTGAAAGTTATGTGGTTTAGCGTTTTAATTAATAGATTGGTTTATACCTTAATCTAAACCTCATATCCCTAATATAATAAATTCCCATCATCTGGTTGACATACTCTTCGGTCGTGTTAATATCACATACATATACTATCTCATTTGAAAGTGTTTTTAATACAATTTTAGCTGACGTGAACAAAAATATAGCAATAAAACTAAGTTTAAGTTTGTAGCCTTCAATATAAGTTGTATATTTACCAAATTTTATTGCAATTTATTCACGATTTCATCTAATAATGAATGTTTAATTCTTTCGCGACTTAGCCCTTCGTTACTTGTTTTAATATAACATTAACATTAATCTGTTTACATATTTATAGTGCCCTGCTTAATGATGGATCTGCGGACGACCTTTCAAAATGTAGGCTCAACCGAACCTTAGGAGAGATGCCGAAAAAGGGCGACTTTGATTTGCGAAACGTTTTGAACTCTGTGTATTTTTTCAGTTAGGTTCATTATATTAATATAACTTACTACAAAGTAGTTTGATTTAATAAAAGTTGCTTTATATACAAAAAGCCAAATTATTGTTATTTTTTAACTATATATAAACGTTTTCCAATAAGATGAAGTACAATCGATGCCATTAAGTTCTGAATATAACATCACTCAAATGACCTCCACTACTTCTTTTGCAGGAACGAACTCGATGAACCCAATTTTCGTGTCCTTTTTCTACTAAATCAAGTCGTATGTCATGAATGGCAGGCTTAATATTGACTTCTTAAGTTTGAAGACAGTCTGGTTTATTGAGACCAATGACTTCAAATAACCCCACAAGAAGTTTTCTAATGGTGTTAAATCACGACTTTTTAGAGGCCGTTCAATGCCACAATTTTTTGAAATTATCGAATCTCCAATCTTCTTGCAATAATTCGAACTAGAAAATTGGCCATAAAAGGTTAGTTATCATCGATCTATACCGCTCTCCATTGACAGTGTCACCAGCTTCATTTCGAAAGAAGTACAGACCGATGATTCCACCAGATCAAAACCTACATCAAACTGAAAATTTAAGTGAATGTTTTGGGAAAAGGGTACAGAGGTACGATTATTACGACCATAAAATGACAAATGCGCATAAAAAGCTGCATTGGATAACGATTATTTTAGTAATAAAATTAAATAATTTGTAAACGTTGCTCTTGCGTATATCTCTCCATGATGAAATTGTAAACATTCCCGAATACAATGAAAAAAACTTTATATTAAAAATGGCCGAAACGACACTTACAAATCATATTATCTCTATTGGAAATGCGGATATGTGTGATTTTGTTACGTACATATTTATATTATCTCGTAAGATTGGAAACAATTAAACAAAACATAAAATTTAATTTTTGAATTATGCCATTGCCGAATGATGAATGCCAATATATTGGAATAATTAGATATATGAATAATATTATTATATATCTGGAATAACAACGCATTAGCTACTATAATGTAGTTATATATGGTACATATATGTAAGCTGAAAACATCTAAATTAAAATGGTAGGTATGCATACCCATAATTCGTGTGATATAAAACATGGGAGATTTATTTTACATACAAATACTTATTTACTTATATACTTAAATTAGTTTACTACTTGTATATTGTCTTCAAAGAAATGTTAAAGAACTGCTTCTTAATACTTTCAACATGCTCTACCAATTATTTTATTTTTACTGAGTCAAATTTGAAAAGAGCAGCACTTATTGTTTGTACATAATACCCCTATTGCGTATACGAGTTGGTTTTGATTCACTTGTTCACTATGGGTGGATGCGACAGTGAAGTCGACTACCCGCGAATTATTTAGACTGAATACTTCCGTTCGTTGGAAGCAACGGTGTTGTCGACTACCTACGAGCTTATTACTTTGAATGATAACAACTTGAGTTCCGTTCTAAAACTGTTTTATTGAGACAATAATGCCTTTATTTAGAACCTACTACTAGAACTACCGCTCCTGCCGTTAACGCTGCTAATTTTTCTGCTGACTCCAATACCTGTGTGAGGTATTGAGTTACACCTGACGGTCACACAGTTGGCGGCTACTGCAATGTATTGAATTGCAGTTGCCGGTCATACAGAAATTCAGCATAGGTTGCAGTTTTGGCAGTTCAAGAAACTGATTTATTTAACTACTCCCTCTTTCAAAACATGGGCGTCCTCGGCCATACTCAGCCTTTCTAATACTTGCCACATAGCCTCCGAAGTTTCCTTTCGTCGCTTACGTCCGTAAGACGATTAATCCTATTGTGATTATAGAGATAGATTACGGCGGTAGCGAATGGTGTAGCAATTGTTTGTATGCATAATTCGGAGAAGCGTTCTCGCAAGTTCTCTTCACTTGTGAAGAAATGGTAAGCTTAGCAGGGCATGATGGTAAGTTACGTTGAGCCTCGCTAAAGTTGGGGAAGTCTCTTCGGTTAGTCACGTTTAAATAACTTGTACCATTGATAAAGACGGTGCGTTTAAACGTAACTAGGTAATTGCCGTTCACAAACACTTCTAGGCCATCATCTACGCTCCCCTCAACCAGCGCATTATTTACCACACTATACCGTCGTCTATGACAGAGATGGGCACTAAATCACTGGACCTGGTGGCACAATGGGCTACGATGCCAGAGGGAAGACCTTGCACGCAGGTTCCATTTACGGCTGCTCTACAGAACGTTACCATTGGCATGTCAATGCCGGAAGTAACAACAGGATGCTACCTTCACAGTCAGCTACGGTGTTATCTAACAGGTGCAATATACGGTCAGCATGCGATACGGGAAAAATGGTAATATTTTTACATAATAACTTAGGTCTAGGGAAGCTGATTACAAATTTTATTATTTAAATTTTATTATATAATTGGGCTATTGTAACTCTCGTAAAACCCTCCTTCATCACCGTCTCCCAATCATTTGCGTCAAAAATGGCAGGTTTACTATATTAAACTTTGTCAGTTGCTGCAATCTTTAAATTTTGAATTTCAAGAGTTAGAATCCTGTGTCTAGCCAAAAGTGTTTCATAAAGGTGCGAGGAATCTATTCCATTTTCTTTACATTGAGTATTTAATTGACCGTGTTTGTGAGAGCGTTAATCCATTCCTGAGTTCTAGAGTTAATGACGATTTGAGTATTGTGCGACTATATCAGTTCCTGTTCCCTTAGTCTTGTGTACTTTAAGTCATCAAAGTCGGGGTTGCCAGCAATTACCTTTAGAAATTTATGCTCAGAGAATGTCTATGGTGAACTCCTAAAGTCCCTAACAAGGTATGCAGATGCGTAATGTCTACCTTCAGGATCTTTCTCATGTGCGATTGTGGGAAGACATCAATTAATTCTGTGATTGCAGTACCGTCCAAGTTAGGGATGTAGTCGTCATGGCCCACGCAGCCTAAGTCAAAAATACGTAGATATACAAATGCCTGAAATTTAATTAAAAGAAACTGTATCAAAATTATTGCATCGGAAGTTTTCATTTAATGTTTTCCTTGTGAACCAGCCTCCCCTTAATAACAACAGTTGTTCCTAAATCAGCGTCAACCTACTCTTGATCTTTGATGTCGTGTCTTTGTACCAAATAAAATGAATGTCCGTATTGCGGGTGTGGATGACGCTTCGACTATTATCTGATTCCTGAAGCAATTCAGGGGTTTGTCCGTAGCCTCAATCACATGAGTTGGAGATATTTCACTGTGTGCTGTCGCCGCATCGGATAGTATTGATTCTTCTAGGATGTTAATATTTTGACGCGATAAACCGTCTGTCACATAATTTTCTTTGCCTGGCTTATAAAATACTTTAGCGCCGCTTTCTTCAATTTGCGCTTTCCAGCGCAATTTTGGAGTTAGGATTTCGATCTGAGACCGCGAAGATAAGGGGCTGGTGGCCTGTATAAATGCTTATGTCATTTTTACGGTAAAGGCAATGCCGAAGACTATCTAGGGCCCAGACGATTTAGTTTACCTCTCTATCCTTTAACGTTTTCGAGATCATTGTTATGGGTCTGTTTCCATAAGATAGTACTGCACCTACGCCAGTGGAAGAGGCATCTTTAGTCAAATCAAATGGTTTTGAATAATCCGGGTAATAAAGAACAACGTCTTCAGAAGTCAGGATATTCCTGAGTTTGTCAAACGCAGACATCGGAGTTTCGTTTAAGGAAATTGGCATATTTTTCGAACGGTATTTGCTGATTCTTCCGCCCTCACCTTTTAACAGGTTTGTTAAAGGTCTTGCTATTGCAGCGAAATCCTTGATAAAGCATCTGTAGTTACTTGCAAGACCTATGAAGGACATGTGGTATGTGGTCTGTTCCAGCCTCGGAGAACACTATGACGTCATCGACGTAGATATAGCAGATCATCTATAGCTCGCTGGAAATGCTAGAGGCATTTCTCAAACCAAAAAGCAAACGGCAAAATTCATATTTTTCTCCGTTTACTGAAAAGGATGTATTTTCTCTGTCTCTACTTAATTGCATCCGTAACTTCGTGAAATTTTTTTTGGCTCGTAGCCTTGATTTCGGTGGCTGCCACTGATATGGACTGAAATTGGTTTGAAAGCTGCTCTAGTCTGGCTTCTAAGTATTTTCTTTGAACCAGCAGTGCGGCGCTAACGGCTGCATTAATAATACCTTGCAATTGTTGTTTATTCATCTCTTGCCCGCGATTTATTCGATTACTAGCCAGGAGTTGGCTATTAAGTCGGTCTAATAGTTCGTTAGTTTCAAGGTCGCTCATACAGTTACAGTCAATACAAAAACTATTAAAGAGTCGATATATGACGGATATGAAAAGGGGTTTTACTTACATAACTATATTGAGATTTTCTTTCTTCCATGTTGGTTCCTATCTTACTTCTTCCACGTTGATTTGGTCGTTGGAATGGCTTGCGGATTAATAATTCAGTACTTTCTGGTAACGACGAATTTCACATAACGCTACTGTACCGGGACAATAACGATGGGGTTTTTTTTTAACACCATCAGTTGCTAGAGCACTTTCACGAGCTGTTCTTTCACGTTTGGCGCCAGTTATTTTTGTTTCACTTGATCATTATTGGTGGTTGTGATGTACAGAAATCTAGACTTCATAGGTTGTAGTTTTGGCCGTTCAAGAAACTGATTTATTTAACTACTGTTAACTTATGTACTATCGTGAGTATAGTTGTCGTTCGGTAGCCGTAATGCATTACGGGCGTGTATCAGCTGCCTAGCGCAGACAGTTCAGTTGCAGTCTCCATTTTGTATCTTTATAGATTACTATCAACCAACATTATGATATTGTGACGAACACGGATGATGGAACAAAAGCGAAACGACGATAAATTAGCCAGATATATTCTAGTAGCGAACTTTTGGTAAAGATTTACTATATAAGGGCTGCCAGATAGTGCAGCAAACACAGTTCTAGTTAGAGTGTTTTTCGTGTTAAGAGCAGTTGAGACATAATCACGAAGTTGTTAGCTCGAATAACGAGCAATATGTGTTAAGTTGTTGGAATTAGAAATAAAGATAAGTGTATAGCCAT